ACAACAACACATAAAATTAATGCTCCCCCACATTTTTGCTACTATAAGCAAAAAAATTGAAAGAAAAGCAACCATATAGAAAAGAAGAAAGCAATAAACTATATTAAATAAATGGAAAAAGGCATAAACCAAACAAAATAAGTAACCATATACCCAATAAAAAGCTGATATGGCAGGTCAATTTGTTTTGGAAAACAAAAGTAAAAAACCATTCATGTTGTTGAGTCACCAATTAAGTTGAGCATGTGAAAACAAGAACAATAGGTTAGAATTGAATCAATAACTAAATTAAGTAACCTACCTTGTACAATTGTTCATGTATGCATTAACACCACATTGAGATCAATCATCAATGGCCTTAGAATGGCATGTATCACTAATTATAAAATTATCTTTATAAGCCGGTCCATGTGGCAGCTTGTTATTGACTAAAGCAAATAGTAAATGCACATCTTGATGTGTACATTGTTTCTCCTACATGCATATAATATTGCAGTAAAATGGATGAAGACTTGAGAAGAACAAATTAGTAAGATAAGAAACATAAGCAGACAATAGTGGAAAGGGCAATGGTGTCAAATCACACTAACGCAAATGTAATGAAAAAAAAATCAAAATAGAGAAACAAGCCTATTGTTGAGATGGTTGCCAATGAATGAAAAACTGAATATATGAAATGTATATACATGGGAGGGAAGAGAACTCGTTACCAGATCCCCACTGTTCACATGTGTGGATAAGATGCTACAACCAGATCTTTGCTACCTACCAACAATCGATCAGATTCACTGTGCGGTTTATAATATATTGTCACATCTTTATTCTAGTGGATAAGATGTATTGTCACATCTTTATTTCAGCGGTTTATAATATATAGCGCGATTTTATTCCAGGGGTTTATAATATACAATGTGGTTTATTCCAGCAGTTTATAATATACTCTCTCAAATTTTGGTATATATACAGTGCAGAGCGAAATTCGATATAATATACAGTGCAAAGCATGATTTATTCCAACGATTTATAATATATTCTCGTATTTCGGTATACTTCAACTTTTTTATAATGTAGTATACATCGGGCAGTTCAACAAAACCGTACGTTTGGACTTCACCGCAGACCATGATCAATTTCAATTTGAGAAAAAAATTGATGCTTCCTAATTGCAACCACATATAATAGATTTGACTGTTGGATGAAATAACTTAGATCTGTCCAACAATACTATAGGGACACTTAATTTTGTTCACATCACTAACTATGCACTGTGCCCTTTAAGGTGTTATGGGTGGATGGAACTTCACACTTGATTGACAAAAGTCATGAAGTCATTTACCTAATACCAATGCATTGCCGCCAAAAAATAAATCTCAATAGATTATGTCAGAATTAAAAAAACAAATAGATCATGTCAGAATTACAAAAAAAAAATAGATCATTAGATGTGGGATAGATCATGTCGGAATTTATAATTTTTATTTATATAAAAAATTCATAATATTAGTCTATATGTTTCTGTCACACCCTTCTCAAAAAATATTAAAAAAGAAAATGACAAATTATAAATCAAAACACATTTTTCTTAAGTCAAATCACTTTTTTTGAATAGGTGTATTCAAAGAGATTTTATCATTTGAAAGGTAATAAAAATGTCAGGTGGGTTACATGTAAAAATAAAATCTGTCACCGTTGATCCTCAGTTTTTGAGAATCCTACAAAAAGAAACCAATGAAGAATAAAGGAAAAAGAGGAGTGTGTGTAATGGGAGTCTGGTGATTTAATCTATAAAGGAAAAAGAGGAGTGTGTGTAATGGGAGTCTGGTGGTTTAATCTCGTGACTCGTGACTGGATGGAAACATAACAACTTCTGTAAAGTAGGCTAGAGGAAGATCACTAAGCCTACAAAAAGAACGAGGCCATCATGCTTCCTCAGTTGGAATGTATTTCATAACATTGTGCTTCCTCATCTTTTTCAGAACTGAGGTCATCAACACCAACAAGTGGTACGAGATCGACAACCCTAACGAGGATGAACATGTCTTGTTTGTGTGGATGATGTTTGTGGACACCCATTTCATCTTGAACTTCATGGAGTAGGCCGTTGGCACTCGGGCGCCAGATGATGTTCGTGGACATCTGCTTCATCTTGAACTTCATGGAGTAGGCCCTTGGAATATCTACAAAAGAATAATAGCAATTAGAACATCTTAAAATGGATGTTAGTGTGTCGGTTGAGAGAGAGAAAAAAGAAGCCATATTCAAATCGACGAACCAATTGGAAGCCCACCAATAATCAACTTGCCAAAACAGAGAAAGCCCAAGTTGTCTACATCCTTGATCTGCTTCTCTGATGTTGTGCATGAAGAAACTTAATGCAATGTCTGAAAAATTACAACAAAAGGAAGAAAATAAAAGAAAAGAAGAATATTGGGGGGCAAACAAAGAGGAAGCCATACAGGAAAAAATAGGAAAGGGGGGAAGGGGGAAGAAGTAGGATTGACAAAGCCACGAAAAGTAGTTAGATCTTGATAGTTTATGTGCGAGCCACAACCGTGGGGAAACCGCAGCCAACCAAAGCTTTAATCACGACCAACCACCACCATTGTTGATGGCCTCTGCAAACACAAAGCTCTAACCTTAAAACCACAACTGCAACCAAAAATAACGCCTCCATCGAAACATGCGTGCCTTGCACACAAAAACTCGAAAAAATGCAAAAGATAAGCAAATCCTTGTAGTTAAATCCCAAGCAAACCCTAACAAGAAAACCAAACTAAATAGAAAAAAGGCTGAAGAAGCAACAAAACCAACGAAAGAAATTGAACAAAAAAAGAGCCAACCTGCCAAAGAAAGAAAAATAAAGAAAAGTAGAGATAAACAGAGCCGATATCCCTCTCGCTCCCACACTGAGGAAGGTCGTTCTAATCTTTCCTTCCTTAACCAATCGCCATAGCTTGGTCAAGACGGCCACCACCACGACGTCGATCGCTACCTCCACGGCCAAGCTCGTACCAAAACCTAGTCAAGACAGCCACCACCACGACCTCTCTACGGCTATAATCGCTACCTCTACGACCAAGCCTGTACCAAAACTTGGATTCAACGACGATGAAGAGGATGGGCCGAGTGGGGAAAGATACAGTGAGAGAGAGGAATTGGAGAAGAGAAAATTAAGAGAGGAGAGTGGCTTCCTCGACAAGCATCTTTTAGTACAGAGAGAGAGACCAAGCGAGAGATGCCTTTGTCCATCGGGCTTTATCCAACGGGCACCTTGGATCGGGGTCGGGCTCGGTTTTTGTCCATCGGTCTCTATCCCTTAGTTAAAAGATTAAGTCAAACTACCTAGTAGACCTGTTCATGGGCCGGGTGGCCCGACGGGCTGGCCCGGTCTGGCCCGACCCCAGATGGGCTTGAACAGGTTTTTTGGCCCGCGGGTTTAATCTCGGGCCAAAAAGTTTGGCCCGCATAAAATTCAAGCCGGGCTCGAGCTTTGCCAAAATAGCCCGGCCCGAGCCCGGCCCGACCCAGCCCGATCTATAGTTAAACCTAAGTAAATCCGGCTCAACCTATAGTTAAACCTAAGTAAAAACCCTATGTGATGTCCATTTGAATAAATTTTTTGATTTGAGAACGTTGTTGATTCACTTGTAGGCCCATTGTTCATTTAAATAGGGGAAAAACATCTAAATTAAAATAGAAAATGTTCATTTGAATAGGGAAAATTTTGAATTTCTTTTATTAGGTCGGGCTTCGGGCTCGGGCTCAGGCTTCGGGCTTTTTATTAGGACCGGGCTCGGGCCCAAGTTGTAGGCCTGTTGGTCGGGCCGAGCTCGGGCTCGGGCTCGGGCCTAACATTTTTCTGTTAATAAAGAGTCAAAGCCCAGCCCGACCCGGCCCATGAACAGGTCTACTACTTAGCTACCGGTTAAGAGAATCCGAATTACCCCAACTATTGGTGAAAAGGAGAGAGAGTGGCATTTATGTAAGCTTTTAGAAAAAATGGCAAAATTCACTGTTAGATTCCATTTGCTGCATTCTCAAGCCTCCTACCGTACACATTTTAATTTAATAGATATATATTGATATAAAAACCCAAATTCTCAAGCCTCCTACCCATGAAATTTTGGCTCCAAATTCCTCTAGTTATCCTTTCATCAAACAAAGATTCCCTTGATCTTGACACATCCAAACTAATTAAACCACACCTTTAAACTCAAGACACATCAAAGCACCTGTCCATAAAGTTTCAGCCCTAGATTCTCCCATTTGTCCACCCATCAAACAAAAATTTTGTTTCATCATCCCGTTGACCCAAATTCCTACGACCTTAACCCTCCAAAGATAGATTAGACCTCATCATCAGATCCCAACTCCCCCCCCCCCCAAATACCCACCCATGAAATCTCAGCTCAGAATATCTCCGCTTACCCTTCAATCGCACCAAGGTTCCATTTTAAGGTCCTAGATTGACCAGATTCCAAATCTACTTGCTCCCCGCCCAATTGGCTCAATCAAACCTCACCAATCACCTCAGACTACCCAAACCCTACCTTCTAAATCCTCATCTAAAACAGACATTGTTTGCCCCTCGATTACACAAAGATTATGTTTTGAGGCCCCAAATTAACCGAATCGAGCCCTGTCTAGATATGTCCAATCCGGGTCCAGTTGTGCCAATGTAACCTTACCAATCAACTCAGATTGTCCGAAAACCCTTCCAAATTTCAATAAAAATACCCACTTATCCCATTCATCCAAAATGATTCCATTTCAGTCAATCTCGCTATCTCTTACACACAAAACCCTTCTCCACAGTGAAACCCATCTCAACCCTCTATTTTTGACCTAAAAATCCCCGTCATTCAACCAGAAGACTCGGTTTGACCCTCCTAGACCCGGTTTGACCTAATTGTCCCAATATTAACAAAATACCCCAACCTTCCAAATATTTACGAAACTGCTACTTTCCCTTTATAAAAGTCAATTTCTTTTAGGTTTAAGGGGATCGGTCCTTAGGAAAGAAGGGACCGTTCCTCTTCTTGCCCATTCGAACGAAGAAGAGAGGCGACGGTGGCAATCTCCCACTCGGACCTCCCCTATTTACCTCTCTCTTAATCTCCGCCCTTCCCTGCCTTCTCCCGGGGATTTTCGGCACTGTTCATCGTCATCTACCTCTTGACGAGAACAGAGTAGCAGCGACAAGGATTTCCCCCATTTCCCTCTATTTCTCAGAACTGCTCACCTTTCCCTCTTCTGACTTACCCTCCGACCATTAGTCTTTTGTCTATCATTCCCGCCGGCAAGAACGAACGACTCGCAGCAGTGGTGCGTTGTTTTCTCTCGTTCGCTGTAGCATAGACTTAAAGCTTATTCTTGGCGAAACCGAAGTTGGAAGTCCGTTTTTCTTCATCAAATCTTTCCAGACCAGGAGAGACATCCTGAAATTACAACAAGCTCAGGTCTCCCTCTCGCACATCGAGTAGGTTCAGGCCAGAACATAGAAGGTATACCCTACGCTCAATCCTATATTAATTTACTTTTTTTTGCTTTCTATTGTTCTTAACTAACGCGTTGATTTCCTTTCATTCTATTATTGCGGAATAACTGAGATCTAAGAGGGAGGAGGGAAACTACCGGAGCTGGTGATGAAGCTCACGCCGAACTAGCTCCTATATGTATATATGCTTATGTATATATGCTCAATCTTCCCTAGTCCTGTCGTTGCTTATGTATATATGCTCATTTTCTAGTACTTTTTTTTTAAGAAGATGCTTGTTCTTAGAGTTTCTGAGAAGGAAATATCTCATTTCTTGACTCTTAGTTTTCACATGCCTTTCCATCGGGATTCTACTGCGATACTACTCTCCTTCTAATTCCTTTTGTTGGCTTTCACATCGAAGGAGTTCGGATAGGAGGGCTGGGGAAGTTTTGAATCTTAATATATTATTTCTTTCCTTGTCCTGCTGATCTGTTGCTTACTATATCTCTGTGTTGAGGATTGGTCTGTTTCATAGGTCGTGGTTTTATTCGTCCGTATGCTTTGTTATGTTCTCGGTTGCATGAGTCTAAATTCTTTGATTGCTGATTTACTTAGCCTTTATTTACTGAACAGAGCCAGAGTTTATCTAGCTATTTAGAGAAGGTTATCAGAATGAGCTCCTGGTTAATCTACCCTTCCTAGATGAGCAGGAATCCTCTCTTTGTTCCTACGTTTCGGGTGAAAAGGTTGAGTGGCCGAGAACAGTAGATTAACTCAAACACAAAAAAAAGAAAACATAATAAAAAGGTAAAGGAAAATAATACAATAAAAAGGGAAAAATAAATAAAACAATAAAAAATAAAAAACAAAACAAAAAAAGGAAATAAAAAAATAGTAAATAGATTAGGTCAAAGGCAAAATGGGGAGTGGTATAGGTTCATTCATGTTTAGGCGATAGGAGGAAATAAGCCACAAAAAAGGGAATGGCAAAAAAAGTAAAGTAAAATATACATATATATATATATATATATATAAATTAGAAAATAAAAAATTAAAAGATTCCAAAAACTAGAAAATAGAAAAAAATAAAAAAATGAATAAAGATAAAATGGGTTTCCAAAAGGAGAACATAAACAAATGATAAAAAAGAAATAAAATAACTTAATTTGTTATTTTGTGATGGTTTATTCTTGTTCTTGTTTAGTTTCATTGATATTAATTGCTCTTAGTTAATCATTGATTTGTTTGCTTTAATTTATGCTTGCTTTGGAACCCCATTTGGGCCCCACCTATTGGACCTGGGAGAGGGGTGCCTAACCCCTTCCCTCTCCCATCCGAGTCTTACCCGGATTGGTTTAGGCAGTGCCTCGGGCTTTGGAGTCACTATTTGATAAAACCGATTTTGATACCATTCTCGGAGGTCCCATAACCTCCATTTCCATAAATGATGGGTGGCAACTCCAAATCCAACCCAAGTGAGCCGTTTTCTGACTCTTACATTTGGTGTGCGCTTGTGTGCCCTTAGCACTTAAGCAACCTAGCAAGAAGGGTCTTGGGCGTACAGTTTGGCTGATTTGCTTGGAGGGCCAAGTGAGTGCCACACGACTTAGCCAACGGGAGCGGTTGGGTGGTGATAGGTGGTACAGAAGCAACTTTGCTAGGGCGCGTGGGAGGTTGTGCATGGACATGATGTTAGATGGACTCGACACTAGAAAGACACACGAGAGGGAGAAGGGCCACTCCAAGAAGACAAGAAAAGCGTCAAGGGACGTCCTTGTTGCCTTGGAGGCCACGATGGCAAGGTTGGAGCTTGCCATGGGAGACATGCAAGACAAGTTCGTAGACATGGGCAACCAAGTTTTGGCTTAGAGGACAGGTTGATGGAGCTCAAGTCAACCATGGAAGAGGTTGTGAATCTTCTTATACTGTGATGATAACAAAGAACGGGATGGGTTGGAAGCCAAGCTAATGGGTAGCTTGGTGAAAGTACTAGCTAATGAGACGAGCTAAAGGTAGACGTGGGGCTTTGCAAGAGGATGCTAGTGCGGAATGTGGTGGGGACTCTATAGGACGTGTCAAAGGTAAGGGCACTTGAGCCACTTCACTCCAATGGTGCCTGGGATGCATGGGTGTTGGACAACTTCCTATGGCACATGGAGTAGTACTTTAAAGCCATGCACACAAGGCTTAGTTTGGAAAGAGTACAAATGCAAATATGTACATCGTAAATACATACAAAATAATACATAATATAAGTTTTTGCACTTTACATATTTGCATTTGTACTCCTTCCAAACTCAGCCTATGGGATGAGCATGCCAAGGTATGTGTTGCCACTAGGTACTTAACCGACACAACTGCCTTATGGTGGAGGTGGCATGTGCAGACATGGAGAAGGGGTAGTGTCACATTGATACATGAGATGAGTTCAAGCGGGATATGAAGCACCAATTCTATCCAGAGAATGTGGAGTACTTGGCATGGTGTAACTTAAGGAAGTTGAAGCATACTAGTTCGATTAGGTACTACGTATGGGAGTTCTCCACACTTGTGCTTGATATACTAGACATGGCTGATAAGGAGTTGTTCAACTTCATGGATGGACTCCAACTGTGGGTGGAAATGGAGTTGCAACGTAGGGGTGTGCAGGATCTAACTATTGCCATGTCCAAGGTAGAGAAGTTGGGGGAGAGCAATGTGAGTAGCTCAATAGAGACCAAGTCCGCTAGGGGTGGCCACAACATAGGTGGGGGAGATCACCACAACCACAAGGATGATTGAGGCAGGCATAGTGATAACAAGGGCAAGGCAAAGTTGACCTGCCTCATTTGTGAAGGGGACCACTATTCTTGTGATTGTCTACAACAGAGGGCACTTAGTACATTGGTGCCATAGGTGGGGCAGCAAGAAGATGACCATGAGGAGGCCAAGATTGGGTCACTGTAGTTACTTTGCAATGTTAAGAAGATGGAGGGGCCGACTAAGGGGGCAGGCAAGACCATGGCTGGGTCAAGGCTGATGTACATGGAGGCGTTGATCAATGGTGAGAATAGCGCAAGGCGCAAAAAAAGTGCAAGGGCCAATTTGCGCTTGAGGTGCAAGGCGCAAGGCGCAAGGCGAGGTGTGCACCTTTTTAAGAAAGGCACAAAATTACAAAAAAAGCTAAAAACAAAAAAAAGTTGAAAAATTGAAGAAAAACCAAAAAATTTAAAAAATAAAAAGAATATTAAACATAATGTTAATAAAAAATATAAACTTAAATTCTAAAATAAATGTTTTAAAAAACTTGTCATCTAAAATTAAAATACATAAACATAACATGTAAAGCGTATTCAAATGAAAATTTAAAAATAAAACAAACATATAAAGCATTTTCAAGCATGTAAAACCCATAATCTCTTTTTCTCCTTATTTGCATTACTTCAAGTAGCTAATGTGATGTAAAACATATTGCATTCTTGATTCTATGAGTCACTTTTGTACCACGCCCCTTGAGGCAAGTCCGAACAAGTCTATGTTAGGGTCTGAAATTCTTATTTCTCACATAAAAAAATAATGATTTTATAACTTTCATTGCCTTTTGAGAAGATATTTTATTGTAATGAATGATTGAACAACATTAGCAAATAGGGGGTTCTCGGAGCTTTGGTGAGCAAGGCTTTTGAAAGGGGTGCGCCTAGGACCTGGCGAGGCGCATACCCCAAAATGTGCCTTGCCTGTGTGCCTCAGGCACGCCTTTTAAATCACTGGGTGAGAAGACCCAAGCCATGATCGATACAGGGGTGACTCACAACTGTCTCAATTGGGGAGGCAAAGTGCTTGGGCCTAAAGATCACAAAAGGCACGAGCATGATCAGAGCAGTCAATTCCCAAGCACATGAGATCGAGGGCATTACTTAGGGGGTGAGCATCCAGTTGGGGAGCTGGCATTGCTCGGATATGCATCCGACTATTCGAGTTGAATGCCTCATCAAAGTCCAAACTAGTTGTAAATAAACCCAAAACCCACATCCACTTCCTTATGCTTGTGCCTTTCTCGTTCTATAGGTGTCGAAATTGAAAAGGTTTATATGTCTTATCCTCTTACGAAGCAATATCTTACCCTAGAATCCTAAAATCTAAATTTCATCGTTTTTGTCATGAACGAATTTGTTGGTTAATCTTTTGTTGCCATTGTTAATCATAGTTGTCAAGGCGACGCGTAGGCGACAAGGTGCCCTTGGAGGCTCGCCTCGCCTAATCGCCAAGCAGTTTTCTATAGTGTTTTTGACAAAACTTTTATGTTCTTAATTGTTTGAGGTTACAATTTTAAAAGCCATTTTTTAAACTAAAATATTCATTTTGTGTGTTTATATACTAATTTCTTTTGATTATTTTCTTATTTGTTAGGGTTTATTCAACACAAACATTGCTAAATGCTGTATCGAACTCTGAAAGACTTCAAAACCTGAACCAATAAGGAAGAACATAAAACGTTGTCTAATCAACACATTTACTTCTTTTTCTTTACTAATTTTGTGTCTATGCTATATATCTATTTTCTTCTTCCACCTTTTCTTTTCTTCTTGTCCTATAACAGAAATAAGGGTTCAGCCCTTATATTTTTTTGAAATTTCTTTTCTTTCTTCTTTTTTTCTCATGAATATGCTGATTTTCTATACTTTAACATGGAGTTTATACTTTTCTCATGAAAATTATGGATAATTATTAAGGAAATATGGTTATGGAACCTAGGGAACTACCCTAGGATACATATTTTTACCTGAAAAAATCCATCGCCTAGGCGACAAGGCGCCCCCTTGTTGCCTAGCCTCTCCTTGGTGCCTTGAAAACTATGTTGTTAATTGAAATGGCGGAACCCCCAAATCACTGTTCTTCACCTTCTCATAATTACTGACCCTTGGCTATGGTTTTGTCTTTGTGCTCTTCCTAGAACCTGAAAAACAATGGCTAAGAAGCGAAAGCACAGTGAGGCAGAGGTTTCAGAACCTTCAAAGAAAGAAGTCGCTCTCCAGAGACCTAAAAGGACGCTCTTTGGATGGAAAGATGGAGTCGAGGAGAAAGAGGGCGATTCTCTGATTTTCAGAAACAGGGAGAAGTTACTGGTTACATGTTCCCGACGCATTGTTTACAGGTAAATTAGTTACTGGCTATTGATTTTTGTGGGATTTACTTGTTGTTTCTTTTGACGAGAGTGGGTTTTATGATTTATAGGTACCGGCATTTGATGTTGAATGTGGTTTCGCTCTTGCCTCATTGCAAGAAAGATAACAAGGTTGAGTCGAAAGAAAGCAAAGGATCAACACTAAATGAGCTGGTTGAACTGAGGAACTGTTCGTCTTGCTTGTTTTTTGAGGTATGTTTTGGGGAACTCAAGCTATTGACTATTTTTGTTCAAACTGGATTTGTTTTCCATTGTCACTTGGTGAACTCAAGTAAAATTCTTCAGCTTAAAAAGATATATTCTTAGAAATTGAGAAATCATACTAATTTTTTTTGTTTGTATTCAGTTTCTATTATACTGATCCTGTTCCTTGGTTGTTTTCTTTTGCAGTGCAGGAAGCAAAAAGATCTTTACCTTTGGATGGCCAAGTGTCCTAGTGGGCCTTCTGTGAAATTTTTAGTTAATGCTGGTAAATTTTCCTACATTTTTCTTAATGCTATGAAATTATTATTGTTGTGCTTTGTTAATGGATTCAGAGTTGATGAATCTCCAATTTCCCCCCTTTCCATTTATTGGGTTGTTCTTTGATTCAAAATCTTTATACCTTTTCTGTCTTTTACTCTAGTGCACACGATGGAAGAACTGAAGCTCACAGGAAACCATCTGAAAGGCTCGCGACCGATTTTAACTTTCTCCTCTAACTTTGATAAAGATCCTCACTGGAAGATTTTAAAAGAGTTGATCATGCAGGTATTGGATTCAAATTATTTCCTTTAATAAGTTTTTTAATAATCAGTGGTTGGTATTCACTATTTTGCATCTCTTAATTGGGAATATGTGCTATTATGCTATTGTCTTTCTCTGTTTTCATTCGATCTAACTTATCTTTTGTCCATATTCTGAAAATGATTATTGTATTGGATATCACAGAGAATGTTGATTTGAATGAATTGTGAACCTTATTATAAATTGTAAGATTGTCTGTTTTTTTTCAAGACTTAAAAAAATTAAAAGCTTATATTCTGTAAGCTTAAATCTATAAAATGGTGATTTTACCCCATTTCTAATCCACCGAATTTACCACTTGTATACTAGTAACTTAAGATGATATAATTGAGTTTGACTTATTCTGGAATTTGGAGTGATGAGTGGCATACCGATGGTATAAAGTTTAACATTTATTTAAGGAGATTTTTTAGGAAGCTATTTTATTTAGTCATTTGTTTATGATGAAATTAACAGTTAGATTTCCTACTTATTTTTGGTTCACTTTCATCATGCAAAAGTAAAATGAACAAGAACAGACATCTACAAATATAATAATAAGCAGACATGGAAGTTGTTTTGAATGATTCACATTCAAAGTTAGGCTTGTTTATGATGAAATTAACAACACTGTAAAGGAGGAAGGGGGCATCTTTGATATTCATTCATGCCATGCTTGAGGAGGGTGAGGAAAGACAAAAGGAAGTTTTAAAACATGATTATTCCTATCCCCACTATAGGCGACAAGAATAGGCTTATAATGCATTAAAGGTAGAGATAGAGAGCTGAAAACACACTGCCAAAGAAGGAATAACTCGGGGAAAAGCACTAGTGCTAGACTTCTCAAGAGGTTATCCATCATTTATCAGGAATGGTTAACTTGGGGCCCAAATGTTATTATTTGGGAACTGAGCATCGAATAAGCAACAAATTTTATACGTTAGGATTTTGATGAGTGAATACATCATTGAAATTTTGCATTAAAGGTAGAAATAGAGAGCTGAAAACACACTGCCAAAAAGGAAGAACTCAGGGAAAAGCACTAGTGCTAGACTTCTCAAGAGGGTATCCATCATTTATCAGGCATGGTTAACTTGGGGCTAATATGTTATTATTTGGGAACTGAGCATCGAATAAGCAACAAATTTTATACGTTAGGATTTTGATGAGTGAATACATCATTGAAATTTTGGAGTGATTAGATTAGATATATTAATTAGGTAGTTGTAAGAGTATTTGCGTAATTTTGGTAGTCTTTTTTATGATTATTTGATTCTTTTTTATTTTATTTTATGAGTCATTATTTTTTTGAAAAAGTTTTTTTTTTGATGAATATTTTTTTGAAAAAGTTAACGTGTTGCTTGTATTAGGTTTAGAGGAAATGTTAGGGATGTACAAAAAATTTCATACTTGCTAACATCCAGTCTCCTCACTTGCAAACACCATTAAACGAAACATAAATAGGGCGGGAGATGATTCTTTAAGAGGTTAATTGTCAAAATATGGTTCTCTCCAACTGATAAAAAATAAATCAATAAATAAAATAAAGGTCCTCTTTGACTCTCAACCCATCTCCCGTCTTGAACGTTATACCTTTAGGCCTTCTCTAAGTTTCTAAAGCACACCCATATAATGTATGAACCTTTTTTTGAAGAATCAAAATGAAATTTCATTAAATTGAAAAAAGGGAAGTACACCTCAATACCAATGGTTGTCAAGTTGACACACCCAATACACACTAGAACACTAAGCCAAGGGATTTCCCTATCACGACCTCCCTTTCCACCAATTTATTGATATTCACCTCTTCATTATGAACTAGCTCCAAGATGTTTTGGTCATTTTAAAATTTCTGTGCTCTTTCTTCCTCTCTAAACTTGTCCCCTGTTTCTCTAACTTCTTTCCCTTCCCTTATATACCCTGTTTTGTAGCTCTGCTCCTTCCTCCCCCCGCCGCTTTGTTTTTTCTTTTGTTTTCTATGCTCTCTCCTTCCTCCCGCTCCCTCCTGTACAGTCTTTCCGAAGAGGGAGTGTTCAGCGAAACAACTTGACTTACCTCTTCAGATCTGTTAGCAGGCTGTAAGATATTAGAACCGGTTCTCTTCACTAATCATTTCTTTCTTCTTTCGATCTTTCCAGGTTCCACTTCCTCTGTTGTGTTCTCCTAAAATGTTGGAGTTGGTTTGGCAGGATTCTGCTCCTTCTCTAGCTTGAGATGCCTCCTCGGTGATCTTGACTCCTCTCCATTGCCGCCTGAGATGATCTCTTTCGTGTTGCTATCAGATTCTGAGTGTTCAGACTCCCTCTAGACGACAGAGAGAAATGGTCTCCTACAACATTCTGAACTTCAACACCACTGCTGTTTCTTTCCGCCTTTGCCGATTTCTCTTTGTTCCTTGTTTCTGAGTTATATCTTCCACCACCAAACTTGTTGATATCTTATTGTCTTCCTCACCTTTCTGGATTCTTATTTTACTTTCGTTTTTATACCTGGTCACTACCCAAATCCATTTTTCCTTCTCTTCATCTTTGTGAGTTCTAGCAATAGAACTACTGGTTGTCGATTGACTGGAGCTATCCTTCTGCAAGAGAAAGTAGCTTTTCCCAAAAATGCCCCTCTTTGAACCTGATTTTTTGTGTCTTGACCTTAACTTAGAATTTACCGCTAACCTGTTTAAGCGGTTCATCTTTTTGTTGTGTACTCTTTGCTACCGGCTGGAGCCTGTTCCCCTCTCCCTTCCTTTTTTCCCCCTCTTTTAAAATGCTTCCTTCTTTTGACCTGGGCCTATCAACCTCCATCTATCCCCTTTCTTGATCTATCATCTTATCCCTCTCATCCACCTGTAGTCTTTTCTTTATGGCAACTTCCAGTTCATCACCTTCTTCCTCTTCTCTTCGGCTCTTCGGCTTCCTCTTCCTTTGACTTCTCCCCTGTCTTGCTGTTCAAGCTTCCTTCTTCCTTCGTCCTCTCTCCTTCCTCCCTTCTCTCTCCCGTGGACCGCTTTATCTCCTGCTCCTCTATCTTGCGGTTTGTACCATCCGCCCCCTCTACAAACAGCCTTAGCTGGTATATTTCTCCAGCAAAATCTAAGCTTAACTTCTGTGGGACTTTGACCCCTTTTCCACTTCAACCAGGATTCATGCCACGTCCAATCTCTCCCACTTCCTATTTCTGTCATCAAACCTTATGAATTTTCCACAAGATGCTGCGATTTCTTCAAACGTGGTGATGCACCAAGCATGAAGAGAGATCCCCACAAAGCCAATCCACGTAGTACCCCTCAATCTTCCTTCTACCAGTCTTTTGGCACCAAGCAATCACCAACCTTGTCTTAGGTTGAAGTTCCTCTCTTTTGATCTTTCTGACCCCAATACCTTTTCTGCAATTGTTATGAAGGCTCAATGGATCTTTGTTAAATCACCAATTCATTTAGTCTTTTACCCAGTAAGGAAGTGTTATTGTTCTCTAGTGTTTTAACCCAAAATCACCTTTTATTTGCATTTGCTGAGCATATTTTCTCCCAATCAACCAAGCAGAATTTGAACCTCAGGAAATCCCTCTGAAGTTGCATTAGCTTGTGAAGCACACTTACAGAAAATGCCAATTTGACATGATGAATGTGTAAACATCAATATGTATTGTAGTAAATCACTTAACTAGGGTACTACTGGTAAGAGGGATAGGGATCAAAGGATAACACTTACCTGAGCTGAGATAGCTAATTGTGGGCTTTTGGATTCAAGAACCACTGGTATTCATGAACCATTACAAGAGACTAATCAAGTTGATGATTCAATCCTTGTATGTGTGTCATGAATGCTATTGGTGGGTGCTCTTTATGGTCTCTCTTGTAGGTAGTTTAGTTTACCTCCTTGAAGGAACTATGCTTTCATATGGTTGATTCTAAAAGTGTGACATCTTTTTGTTCTACTCACTTGCAGATATTTGGAACTCCAAAGGATCACAGGAAATCTAAACCTTTCTATGACCATGTTTTTGTTTTCTCAATTGTTGATGATCACATATGGTTCCGCAATTACCAGGTATGGTTTGCATTTCTTGTTGGAAGTTTTGTTCTAGTCCTTGTTCTTAACTGTTTCTTTATGTAACTCAGCTGATCCAATTTAAGTTGTACCATAAATTTTAGCATAATTAATACACCATGGATTTGAGCACAGTGAAGTTTGGTCTTGCTTTTGCCCCATGTTATACATGTCTTTGCCTTTGAACCATTCCAAAGTGCTCAGCATGTGCCGTCTCATGGGTTTGCTATGACTAGATCATCATCTTGATGGTTTTGTTCAGGTTAGAACTTGAAAGTTAACCTGCTAGAAGTGCCATTGTCTGTTCATGAACATGCACAGTGCATAGTTGCTATTTAGCTTGAAAGATTAATTTGTGGAACCCTGCCAATAATTGTGAATGTTATGCTCATCCAAGTGAGCCATAGGTATGAGATGTTGGGGTTTTGACAAAGAATGAAWAGATGGTGTATGTTTTTGACATTTGTATGGGGCTATAAATGAGTGGCCAGCAGCTAGTTGGCCACTTAGTCCAAGAAAAGGCAGTTTAGATATCC